TCTTAATGTATATCAGAACATTTCTTTAATTCTGCGTGTTTCTGGTGGCTAGCATTCAAATCAAGGATGTTTCAGTCAACATTCAGCTGAAGGGGAAAACGCTGAGGAAACTTCCTCCTGCAATCCACTACAATTCACCGACAGCTGAGTATCACGGTACAAAATATATTTTTGTCATTATTGCTATTATTAATTTCAGCTATATGAAGAGCCGTTATACAAGATGACTGAGACGACAATATCAGAATGTTATATCAGAGTAGCATAATAATGACAAGAGATACTGAATTATTGAACAAGCGGTAAGTTGAAAGGTAAAATCTGCAGATAACCATGAATATGATGTCTGATTAAATTCCTTTATCTTTCTTCCTACGTAAGTTTAGGCACATAAACTAATATATAACTTTGGATAATGTAATTAGAAGATGTAGATTATCTGAAAAATGTAATATGCTTTGCGCAATACATTTCGAACAATCTAATCACACATTTACTTGTCACAAGACATTACATATGAAAACTGGAAATGGAGGAATGATAAATATTACATAAAAGAAATTCAATATTAAGAAAGATAATGAAAGGAAACAAGATAATATTTGGCGACAACCTTAGTAATATGACAAAATAAACATCGTCAAGGTATGCTTAGCGTAAGGAAAAACTGCTTTACACACACGATGAGGCGGTTGGAATTTGTTTATGCCTAGCGCCTCTACAAACTTCAGCATACGCCCCTGATAGTTTCTATACAAAATTGTAAAGGATGTTTTAATATCAATCCTGTGACCCTTATCAATGATCTGTTTTGCAATGGATGATAGTTGTCTGCCACCTGCACTTTTCGATATTTATGAATCCAGCTCCTTTTGTAGCCATTTTGGTACATGTCTCTCTACCTTCAAGTGTTTATCCTCTCTTTGTATGTTTATCCACACAAACACGTAAATTTATAAACCCAGTAGGATATGACTCAATCTTTAATACAGCGTTGTGGTTTGAGCTGCAGCAGGTGTTTGATCTTCTGTACTGCGGTAAGCTTATCTGCGTAGTAAGTTTTCTTAACAGCAGACGTTAACCTTCGCTTTATTATTATGATGTTAGATTCTCGTCTGTATGGTAACATGATGTAAATGCATTTCTTTAAAACAGAGTACAGATTAGGTTTCAGTCCTGGCTGGTTTTTGTAGCAGTTTATGAATTTCAACGAATATCCATTTTCCACTAATGTTTCCGTTAATATTTTGAAATCGGTATCCATTGTGTCTTCCGTACAAATACGCTGTATCCTTTTAAATAGGCAAGTTAGCAAACCTTACTTGTATTGGGTTGGACAGAAGCTACGGAAACTTAAGTACTGACCTGTCCAAGTGGGTTTCCTGTAAATAAACTGTTTTGTTGGGAGGGGGGAGGCTAAACGTGGGAGGACTAATCGCGATATACACTTGAGGGTAGAGAGACATGTACCAAAATGGCTACAAATGGAGCTGGATTCACAAATATCGAAAATTGCAGGTGGCAGACAACCATCATCATCCATTGCAATTTCAAACAGTTTTCTCTCCTCCCTCTTGTCTCTGATTGCTACCACCAACTGGTCACTTGACATAATTTGTTTTCTGTTTTCTTCATGTTAGTTATTACTTTACAAACTACCAATTAGGAAACAACCTGTTAGAAATTTCACATAGTTTTACCATGAAATTCTTCGATACTTCAGATGCAGTTTTAATGACCTTGATTAGTTATCATCCCGTGGACGCTTTGAGAATAACCACTTAATATGAAAGATATATCACCACTAGAATGGTATACAGTGTAGCATTAAGAGAATCCTATATTCGATACATTTCACCATCGAAATGTGACTTGATAAAGTTGAATAATTTGAGCATTCGGTAAATTTATCTGGTAGGCGAAGGATTTCTCAAGATGTAGCTTCTCTCTTCACCATTGTCTCTTCACAGAAACAATCTGTTTTATATTTGGTTTTATCAAAGATAGTAATTTTCACAAGAGTATCGCAAAGCACTACTTAAAATAATCACTTCTATGATGTGCTTTCAATGTGCAATCGAAATTCAACACTGGGTATATAGACAAAATGGTTGGGTCCATATGAGGTCAACACTTGGACCGATTTTGGTTGATTGCTTTATGACAAACTTAGCAAATAATGTGCTTCATTCAGCAGCTGGTAGTTTCTACCCATATAAAAGGTATAAGGATGATACATCCATCAGGTGTGATGGAAATACGGATATCGCCTTTTGGCAGAAAAGGGAATCTGATTCATTCTTTATCTTCAAGAATCAGCAGAATCTACACAAGTGATACTATCGACTATGATTTAGACGAACTATGTAAGATTCTCATAAAAACGGATATCTATCCAGATTTATCGAGAAGAACTTGTAATTAAAACAGAAAACAGAACAAGTATTCACTGATTTAAAGAAAACCTTGTTTATAACGTTGGTTTCAAAGGCGATATATCAGCAGAGATCTCGAAGAACTGGCTGTTCAAATCGTGAAATAAGACATTCTTCTTCTCTAAGAAACTATACATCACTTTCACCAGTCTGCAACTGATTCCAGGATGTTTTAAGGACGGGTTGTCATTTTGGGACACCTCAATGTGTGTCTACAAATCTACTTGCTTTTATGGAGCTAGCTATACAGGCCGCACAAAACACACACTTTCTAAGCCTATCTCTGAGCACTATTCTGCTTAGTTGTCGAGGGGAGTATGTAAAATCAATTAACAGTTCAATTTTGAACATTTGGTCGACTCTAGCTTTGCCAAAGTCCTCCTTCAGTGTCATTTATAGAGTCAAATGGAACAGTTCACAATGGAGTACGCCTTTGACGGTTGTACACAGCAGAAGCACTGGCGATTCACTATACTAAGCCAGATATCTGCGTGCAAAATAAAAATGTCCAATATCTCATGATGGTTTTAAGACTTTCACAATTTTCATTATTACTAGTTAGTTCATTATTGTCACCTTAATTATGACCGTTGTCTCATTCTACACCTTCTGTATATTTGTCACTATTTCAAACTCCTTGCCTTCCTCGTTATTTTTACTGTCTAAAAGGTGTTACGCAACTACTTACCATTCTTGGTTTCGGTTGTTTAGGACTAGCTCAATGATGCAATCATAGACTATTGGTTATTGATAGACTGTAATTTGTTTATGAAATATATAAACACGATTATACAGCTCTAGAAAATGATATCGTCGAGAAAGAAAACTATCTTCACTGATTATTTTTCTTTTCTAAATGAATTACCAATGGATATATTTGTAGAATCCCAATGAGGTAAAAAAATGAATTTTTCTCGTCACTATATACAGTTTACCAATCGCACTTTCCACATTGATATTCCTCACAGCTCAGTAGTCTTTCAACTGTTAAACTGGGGTATCAAAATGGTTCCTGCTGGAAGCCACTCAGCCAAGATCATAAGGGGTGATCTGTAACAGAAAAGTGTCATGAGCCAGTGAAATACACTACTACTGAATGATTTGAGAAGTAATTAGAAATTACTTGCGCTGATCTGTAGTATTTTACCAGCCTGATCACAGTGGTGTAAGGTGATCTGAAATAATTTGGTTCCATGAACTGAATTTTTCTGAGTACAATAGTGATGAGCTCGGTCCTAAACGAGTGAACGTCCGTCCGGTGCATAGATCACTGTGATTTGTCTGGCTGGTGAAATCTACAGATCAGCCTGAATGGTTTCTAACTACTCAAGTTGTTCAGTAGTGCCGCTCCTAGACAGGCGAAGCAATGAACCAAAGAGAGTATTGTACACAAATATTTTAGTATTTCTCACTAGTTTCGATCTCCCATTCAATGTTTTATTGCTTTACCGCTTCTTTTCCAGCTACCAAGAGACATTCAAAGATGAAATCTGAGTGTTATTGTTGAGGTATAAACTCGCACATTAGCTGTTTACGTGATATCAGCTATGGTGATAAAAGTGATAGACACCTTTTGTTTATTTTTACTCAAGGTATGTATAGGAAAGATTTTCTGTACTATTTGCGTCACATTTACGAACCTCTTTGAAAGTTCATTGCGTTCAGTGGTCACTTTCAATATTTAGAAATTTTCAACTTTTCACGCTATTATTCCTACTTTTCATTGAATATCAGAGTTCAGTCACTCAATAAGAACACGAGCAGTTTGTTATTATGATACTTGTATTTTCCCGTTGCTACACAAGGCTGAATTCCTCAACCTCAGTTGGCAGATGGGGTCCTATGCGGATGACTGGATACTTCTGATTATTCAAGATGGTACATTGATCTTGGGTTTAGCAGAGGATCCCAGGATACATATTTCGTCCTATTTGGGACTGGTCAGCTGAATGACCTGGGCCCCAATAGGTGAAGTGTCCACACTCAATTCGAACCTAGTACCCTTCGCTTCAAACGCCAAAGCGTTATCCACTAAGCCACTTGAGTACTATAGCCACCTCTTGTGCAATGGGTATTAGTTGTTGTTACGATGCTCGTTGCACAAGAGTTGGCTATCGTACTCAAGTAGCTTAGTGTATAATGCTTTGGCATTTGAAGCAAAGGGTACTGGGTTCGAATCTGAGTGTGGACAATTCACCTATTGGGGCCTAGGTTCATTCAGCTGACTAGTCCCAAATAGGACGAAATACGTATCCTAGGTTCCTCTGCTAGTCACCATCATTAATGTAACATGAACACTTCATTATTCTACATACTCTAAGGTTGTGTATTTTTACCTGCCAACTAATTATAAACAAAGTACGGTTCGACTACATGTGATATATGTATGAATTTGGAAAAATAATTAGAAATACAAACATACCTTGAATATACGATATTTTTTTATTGATGCATAAACGTTACATGAAATGTTGAATCAATCATCTTCGTTATACTGACAACGGAACACACGTATTATACATGTATATAAACTGAATTCAGAGTGATCACAGATAAATAAAGAAGATGGTGTCAGAGAAACGGTTTAAAACTTACTGTCATTTAACTAGCATCATCATTTTAACAGTTTCAGTTACTTCTCTATGCATAGTTATCAGTTTGATATTCATTTTATTGCAACGTGGAATTTGTTACCGAAATGTTGGAGGCGAACTCCGAGTAACCTACACCAAGCAATCTATAAAATATGAGATCAAGTCATCTGAAACTGAGTATACTCGCTTTCATTATCGTAATAGTGAACCGATAACTTTTACATCTATATATCCATCTGTTCATGAACATGCTATTCCTTTTGTTTTAAATAATCAACAAGAAGAAGGTGGAGTTCAACGTCAAAATTATCTGAAGTATCAATATCATACTGCTTGGAAGGCACAAAAGTTTTCAACATGATGTCACGTAAAAAATTCAACTATAATCCATTGAGTAAGCAGCTAAAAAATGTAGGTGAGAAGACAAAATTAATGTCAGAAAAACATTTAACATTCATTGGATCTTCTTTCATGTGTATGTTGAAGAGATATTTCTCAGTGTTGGTGATTTTATTATTGAAAATCTTCAGGGAATTTATTACTAAATGATCTACCAATTTTTGTGAGATTAAATTCATTTTTTCTTCACGTTCTATATATTTATAAATCTATGAGAATAGGTGAAATACAAGGCACAATGTAAGATTATTTCAATATCAGAACAGTTAGTGTTATGGTTGAATGGAGGAGATCAAATTAAATCGATATTAGTTTTGATTAGGTGAAATAGGAAACAGCCTAGTGTGTTAATTTAGCAATGAAATCAGTATGAACAGAAAAATTATGAAGTACGGGGACAAATCTGGAGATAATGATTCATCTATACACTTCAAGTTGTTATTTATCCTAGACTGACATCAGTTGGAGGAATAAAGAAAACCTGGGGGCACTCGACAGCTGTTTCATCCTAGTGTGAGACTCCTCAACAGTGCTCACTCACGACTCCGCCCTCCAGAGCTCGAACCCGCGACCTTCAGGTTCCGTGGCCAGCACGTTACCATTGATCCACTGGGTCATAACCCAATGGTCCATATCTCCAACTTCTGTTGGCTCACAACTCCCTCAAAGTTCAACTGAACTAGTGCTCATAGGTGACTAACTTCGAGAGGTACTCCCGAAGTTCCAATGAGAAGTCGTGACCGGTTCGGGCAAAGCCTGATGGTCGTGAGGACAGTTACTCAACGATGACATTGGGTGGCGGTCACGCTATATCTTGAGCTAACAGAAGTTGGGAATATGGACCATTGGGTTATGACCCAGTGGATCAGTGGTAACGTGTTGGCCACGGAACCTGAAGGTGGCGGGTTCGATCCCTGGAGGGCGGATTCGTGGGTGCGCACTGTTGAGGAGTCCCATACTAGGATGAAACAGCTGTCCAGTGCTCCCAGATTTCCTTTGTTCCTCTAACTGATGTCAGTCTACGATGGACAGCAACTTGAAATATTTCCAAATCCCCATAACTCCCTCAAAACTCATTTATATACATCTATCTAGGGCATGAATGTCTACGTGTTTGCCTGTTTACCAATGGTCAAGTAATCATTATGCAGCGATAAGTTATATTCAAATAGATTGGAGAAACGTGTGTATAAAGCAACCAAATAATGAATAACAAATGTGAAGTGTTACATAACAGTTGAAAATGACTACCTACAGTGGTATGAATAAACAAGGGTATAAAACTAATAATATGAGAAAATGAATGTTCATCAATGTAATAACAGAGACAATGTAGAAGAAAGAGGTGAGAGGTAAAAATGTGAAATTTCTGGTAAGAAAGCTCATGAAGAACGTGTTGACTCTATTATGGGCCAGGGTAGACAGAGTGGATGACTGTATTTCTTTAAAACACATAGATCAGGTTTTATTGAGTTGATACGTGTGGCTTTGGGTAGGAATGAAATGCGTAGTTATGGAAGGGACACAATATATCACAAAAAGGGCGTAATCTACCTTGATTTGATGCTCCATGTCTACTACATTTCCGAGGACTGTACAGTTGTCAGTCCTTTCCTTAACCAAACTGGTACATGTTCATGAATGCACATACGCACAGCCATATGAGTACGGCCGATGTAACGGGTTCCGCAGGAACAGCTGAACTCATAAATGCGCTGATAATTTATCCTTGGTTCGCTGTGTCAGTAGGGGCTTGGTTGAGAAACTGATAGAAAGGTTCTCTGTAGTGAATGTTCTTTAGACTTATGTACTCAATTGCTGAGTTAAGATATCGAAGGCAATATAAACTTTGAAACTTATTCTACTATACAAGGGCTTCTTAGAAACATCTTTTTTATCATCTCTCTAGGTCTCAACATGCATTTATCTATGATATTTAGTGGATAATGATTTCACTGCAATGTTATCCCCAGCTTATTCATTTCTTCTTCAACAAACTGGTCGGAACATAGATTTCTTATTTAGTAACTCAGATATTTGACAAGATTTCTTTTATATTGAGCTGGAGAGAAGCTATGAAAGTGAATATGTTTACTAGTCCATGTGTTCTTACGAAAAGATATTCCTCTTAGAATATCCATCCGTCTTTCAGATGAGGGGGACATCTAGGTAAGAAACACTACTCCCCTGTTCTTTCTCACATGTGAATTTCATAGCTCAGTGGATGCTGTCGAAGGTATTCATTTACATTTACATACAAGTAACAGAAGTCTAGTTTGCCAAATGTTTCCTTAATCAGGCTGTTTTCAAGTTTGGCCAGGAAGACTGTTTCCACACTAAAATAAGGTAATTTTGCAAACAACAGTTTACCTCTGCTTGCTTTCATTTGCGTAAATATACTTGAAAAATCAATGTGAAATATAAAGCCGATGTATGGATGTTAACCGAATTACTCAGTTGGTTAAAAGGAATAGAGTCCTAGAGGCGTTCTGACATGAAAAACTATTGCCATCCCTAAATGACATACGGCAGATTAAGTAGGGTAGATTATGACTGACATAAAACCAGAGAATTAAGCAAGTTGAAGAAGTTATTTTGAGCCTGGTAGCGTCAAAAGCGGTTTTTAGTGAGAATATCAAACTTTAGTCTGAGGATTGAATATAAAGGAAGATGATGTTTGGAAATTTAGTGCAAAATTTAGGACTTATGAAGGCGCCCCCAGTTGTACTATCTGTCGAAAGTCCAATATCCAGTAAACTGAATACTTATTTCTCAGTATTACTAGGAAGCCGTCTTAAAGTAGCTATCATCACTCACAAGCTGGTCAATATATCTGAGGAAATCTTATGTGTAAAATAATAACAAGAAGAAGAAAACTTGTCAGTATCAAAAACGTATTGGGTGACTAAGTTGGATGACGTAATGTGCTTACAGGAATAGATTAATGTGGGTAGAACTGAGAACCTTAAGGGTGGAGGAGTGTGGTATGTGTTAATACGTAGTACGTTACTATTATGGTGAAGGGAAACATTTTTAGGATAAAATGTTTTTACATATCACGTTTACTGCAACTTCAGTGACTGGACAAGTCTATTCTAAATACAAATTTCAAGTTTCTAAATCTGAATTGTAATGAATTCCATTGTGTGAAGTTTAAGGCTCACGTCTTGATCAATGTAGATGATAATGGAGTCACTACATTCGCCTGGTGATTAGAATCAATCAAATGTTCTAGATTAGAGCTATGAGCTGTTCTCCTTTCCCCTTTGTGAAATAGGCTGATATGTGTTCGTAAATACGTTTGAAATGCAAACTCTGAGTAATATCAACGTACTTCACACTACAGGAGTAGACGAAATGAAAAAGTCATATAGAGGTGGTCAAGACAGCTAGCTTATTTTTATGTGCTATCGAAGCGTTAAGTGGGTGCAGAAAGTTAGTCTGAGTTTGACAGCATAAACGCTGTTTCTCATTCAGCATGCCAGACGGTTGTCTAGCGATCGTGGCAACGAATGTGCACTGGATTGTGAATTCATGGAGATGTTCATAAGGGCCTTAAAAGTAAAACGATTCTTTGGTTTAAGTTTTACAGATGTTTCAATGACACAGTCAGGATACTGGTTTTTAATCAATATATTTTTCGGCAAGCTTAGTTCATCTTCTTAAATGCCAACACTGTAGATATTGTGGATTTTTTGACGGAAAGAGAGGGAGAATCAGACTTCAGTTCATGTCTGAAAGAACCCAACCATGATCTGTTCTTCTCCTTGGCTTTGTCTTGATCGATCAATTCACTACTTAATTATTCAACCCTTTAGTTATATATATATATATATATATATATATATATATATATATATATATATATATATATATATATATATGATAATTGATAAGGTAACATAAGATAACTTTTAAGTGATAAATATCATGGGAAGTAATGAAAACATCTCATATGAAACCCAGACTGGTCAATTATCGGGCTTAAGGCTATGTTATCTAACTTTAACATGAATAAGTCTGGCAGGTAAATCGACTAAGCGTGAACCAAAAGCAGACACATAATTCGTTTGATAAGTCCTAAAGTAACTATCCGGAGAAGTAGTTAACAACAACACACAGAAGTCTGTTGCAAAACAGACATACGAAAATCCAATCATGGTGGATAGATAATTACTGAAGTTCTTACTGCCTAATCACACATGCACATTAGCATATCCTAAACAGCCGCCGCATAATGGAATTCATTAGAATGAAGCGCACTCCATAGTTACACCTCTCAAAACCAAAAGATGCTATTCCCAGTCTGGAACAACAGAAAGGTGTCTGTAAAACAGACTGTAGTAAATGTAATGATACATACATTGGAGAGACATCATGTCGGATACAAACACGTCTAACCTGCAGTTGCAAACGGCAGCGGGAAAATCCACTTAAATCCGAAAATCATGAGAACAGCTCTGACATCGTGGCTCATGCCTATCTTAGTTATTTCAAATATATATTTTGAGAAGGCAAGCACTATGTCACAGGGTTTTCCTTTCTCACAAAGAGATAGCCAGTTCAGAGGCTCTGAGTTTCTGTTCATACTTTCTCGTGGTCAGCAGAAAATGTCGACTGGACATCCTAAAAATACGACAAGTGAATATTCTAGGCTAACATAAAACGTTCAAAATAATCTGCAACTGTAGGGTGATGCACGATTTAAAATCGTTGACTGATCATCATGCTAATCTTACCCGTACTCTTCCACATAAGTTGGTTCTAGGATATTCAGCTTTCTTCGTTTATGATCGAAGCCTTACTCTTACCTGCTGATGCATCATACTTCAATCTATTTTCGTTTTATCTTACTTCCACAACTTCATTACGCTTCTACAATCAATTTATTCATACCACTCACCTAGACTGTATTCAGTTTTACTCCGTATAAGGAGTCAGTTCAATGATCAGTCAGATAGG